TCTTCTTCTTCTTCTTCTTCTTCTTCTTCTTCTTCTTCTTCTTCTTCTTCTTCTTCTTCTTCTTCTTCTTCTTCTTCTTCTTCTTCTTCTTCCTTTCATTTTTTTCAAGACTGGGTTTCTCTGTGTTGTTTTGGTGCATGTCCTGATCTTGCTCTGTAGACCAGGCTAGCCTTGAACTTGCATAGATCTGCCTGTCTCTTCCTCCTGGATGCTGGAAATAAAGGCATGTTACAACACCGCCTGGCAAAGTATGGTCTTCTTAATGTGCTGTTGAATTTGGTGTGAGCTATTTTTCATTAAGGATTTTCTAATTTATGTTAGTTAAGGATATTGCCTGATACTGGCTTAGTTTTAAATTTTATTTACTTGGTTTGAGAATAAGGGTAATGCATCTTTTATGAGAAAAAGTTGAAAATGCTCTTTCCCTCAGACTTATAGGGTACTGAAATATTTGGAGAACATTGCTGTTAGATGTTGAGATGATATAATTCATCAGTGAATTGTTCTGGTCACTGTATGAGTCTTTCTTGATACTCAATACTTTCAGAGTATTTTATCTAGTTTTATTTCTCAGACTTTAATTTTCCTTTTGACTTATTATTTCCCTCCTTCTTGGATGTATTTTCTATTTTTTATCAGGGGAGGGAAGGAATGCCCAGAGCTTACAGAAGGACAGTGATGCATGGACAGATCTTCCTTTCAGACAAAAGGTCATTAGTAATGATGCACTGGACATTGAGGGAGTTTTATTCCCACCAGACAAAGTGTGTCTTCATGAACTTCATGGTATTTGTGGGAAAGGAGTTGCTTCAACACCACGAAGCAGGCTTGGTTAATTTGAGACCTATGCTACATGACAGAAAATGGGATCTGAAACTTAGGCTACTTGAAGGGTTCATGGTATATTCACAGGATGGGTGGGAGGGATATGGTGAATGTGTGACTGTGTGACAGCAATGAATCTATCTTGGCTTCTTGAAAAGTAACAGGAGTGTGGTTGGGATACATTGCAGCCCTCTCTGCTAAGGGCATTAGTCCTTGGGGCAAGAACATGGATGGAAAAAAAATAATTTAATAATTTAACTGAAAAATAATTTAAAAAAATCACTTTGGTTTTTTGCCAAGCCATGATTGGTCCATTGCATGTGACATCACACAAAGTCCTTGTGAGGCAAGCTAGATACTAGCCAATCAAAAGGCACTGCCTGAGGCTGAGTTTTGTCTGTACTTTGGAGAATCAGTTGGTTGGTGGGAGAGCAGTTGGCCTCAGTTATTTCCCTCATATACTTGACCTTTTCCCTGACCTGTTGGATCTGGACATAGTGAGTTTGATTCCCAAGTTCTCAGTTTGGCCTTTTGGCAATTGGCTATTACTTATTTCTTTCTATTTTTTGGGGGGGAGGAGGGGGTTCGAGACAGGGTTTCTCTGTGTAGCTTTGTGCCTTTCCTGGATCTTGCTCTGTAGACCAGGCTGGCCTCGAACTCACAAAGATCCGCCTGCCTCTGCTTCCCAAGTGCTGGGATTAAAGGCTTGTGCCATCACCACTTGGCATTTCGTTATTTACATTATTGGTTTTGGTAGTAATTTCCCCCTGTAATTCCTTTTTATTCATTTAAACTTATTTTCCTTCTATCAACTTCTTTTTGTCATTTTTGGCTCTGTTATTGTATGTTTTACAAATTTAATGTTATGCAACTGTCCATTAAATTGGACAATTACTTCCTATTATACAAAGGCTATGCCTCTGCCTGCTCATGACCTGGAGTGAACAAAATGTGACACTTGTGTTTGTGGAACTGGCATGTTTGTAGTCACACTTTCACTAATTCCAAGTTTTCACCTGAATTAGGCATTCTATTCCACTGATGTCTGATTTAGGACTTACCTCAGTGTTGTGTGTATGCTGTGCTCTTTGGCTGTTGATGAATCTTGAATGTTCCCAGTTAAAGATGTGTTGAGCATAAAGTCTGGTGTTATTAACGTGGTGCTGAATTTTATGTGACCTATCAATTACCCTCATTCAGGTTTTTCCCATCTGTCAGTCAAGGATATTGCCTGATACTAGGATCATTTTGAAATGTCTTATATGGTTTGGAATTTAGGGGAATAACTCTTTTATGAAATGTGCTTGAAACTGTGCCTTCCCTCAATTTTATGAACTACTGAAATACTTGCCGGTCATTGTTGCTAGTTTTAGAGATTGGAAAGTTGATTTCCAGTGTGTTGGTTTTGGCTCCTGGGATTTAGATTTTCTGTGTTGTATTTATATTTATGTTTTTTCAGTTTTTCTTTATATTTCATCTTTTTTCATTCAGTACATCCTGACTGCATCCTTCCCTCCTTCCGCTCCTCCCAGTTGCCCCTCAGCTCCTCTCTCCACCAGATCCACTGCTCCTCTGTTTCCCTTGAGAAAAGAGCAGGCTCCAAGGGATAGCAACTGAACATGGAATAACAAGATGCAATAAGATTATATTAAATTTTTTTTGTTTTAGTGATAATTTGTACTTATTTTATCAATTTCCTCAATAAATGTTACCCAATTTTCATTTTTGAAAATTCAGCCTTTTATTTCCCTTTGGTTTCTTTTCTCCTTTATAGAAAATATTTTTAAATTTACTGGACTAAATAAATATATAAAACACATAATGTGTATTATGGGTAACACACATATATAATATTTATAACAGTGTATATTATAATATATGCTGAGTATAATATTATAATGTATAGTTCTATTTTAGAGTTTGAATTCATTGAACTATATTACATAACCATAGTGGATTCTCCCCACAGTCTCCTTAGGTGCTTTGCTGCTGTTCCATTTATTACAAATGTTACTTCTGCCATTCTGACCATGAACAAAGGGCTCTTTGGTGTGTTGGATGATGGAGGTGAAGTATCAAGGACGCTCATGAATGATTTTCACATCTATGTTCATCAAGGAAAGGAGCTCACACTTGCTCTGTTTGTTGAGCTTGGGATCAGGCTAACACTGGCACAGGGATGAGTTTGGATGTGTTCCTTTGCTTTTTCTTTCTTGAAGTATTTTCAATAACCCTGGTCTTCATTTTTCTTCGAATCTTTGAATGATTCAGGGGATCCATGAGATCTGGGCTTTGCCTTGTTTGGAGCTGTATTTGTTGCCAGTCCAAACTTGTTGCTTATGACATCTGTGTTAAAGTGTTTTTATTTTGTATTAATTCAATATTCACACATGTCTAGGAATTCCTTTCAGGAATTTTCTAAATTCCTGAGTCATAAAAACTGTAACATCCCTGAAAGACCTTCTGGACTGCAGTTGTATCAGTTACAACATCAACTTTTCTATAGTGTAATTTGTATCTGATCTCTCTTGATCAGCTTTGTTAAGGGGATTGCATTGTGGCACATCCTTGAAAGAAGCAGTTCATTCTTTCAGGGATCTCAGGATTTTCTTGTGCATGTCAACTTTACTTATACCAACTCTGATCTTTCTTATTACTCCTCATCCACTGCCTTGGGTTTAGGTTCTTCTAGTATTTTTATATCCTTGAAGAGCATCATTAGATTGTTTTGGATATCTCAGATTTCATGACAGAGGATTCCAAGCTATAGCCTTCCCTCCTAAAACTGCATTAATCATTTCTTTTAGCATTGTGTGGGTCTGAAATTGCCCACAATATAAAGTGGTTGAAATTGAGCAGAACACCATGGGCAGCCACATGGAAGAGGACATTCTTGAAAAGGATTTCAGGATGTTAACATCTCTAGGGTGTGGTTCATTCGGGGAGGTGAAGCTGGCCTGCCATCTTCCCACACATACACGAGTGGCTGTCAAGGTCCTTGAGAAAAACACCAACAGTGTGGCTGACATCAGTACTGAAGTGAACATCCTTCAGTCTCTGGAACACAGGAACATCGTTCGATTTTTTGACATGATTGACACACTGACAACCACTTATCTGATTATGGAGTATGTGGCAGGAGAAGATCTTGAGAGCTGCCTTGGGGCTCTGGGCTATCTAAAGGAGGAGGAGGCTAGAGTGATTTTCCGGCAGGTGGTGTCAGCGGTTCACTTCCTCCACCAGAGACACATCGCACACCGTGATATCAAATTAGAAAACATCCTAGTTGATGCAGCAGGAAATGCTAAGCTTTGTGACTTTGGTATGGCAATTGAGGTCACAGAGGGGCAGATGTTGGAGGAGATCTGTGGCTCCTTGCTCTATTGGGCCCCAGAGATCTTGGCAAGGAAACCTTATGATGGACTGGCAGGTGATATGTGGAGCTTGGGTATCGTCCTGTATGTCCTGGTCACAGGGCACTTTCCATACATGGAAGAAACCCTTGAAGGTATGCACAGGGTCATCACCACCACAATGTGTCCCATTCCCTACCATCTGTCAAAACCCTGTCACATCATCATTGCCCGACTACTCATGATCCCTACTTGGTACCGGTTCACAATCTGTCAGCTTGTGGAACAACCATGGCTGGGCCCCATTCAACAACATGTACTGCCTACCACCAAAGAAATCCTGCCCAGGGTCGTGGAGACCATGTGCACCATAGGCTATACCTGTGAGGAGATTGTTTCATCCCTAATTCACAGTCGAGAAGATAATCATGTAATGGCTACATGCAACATTCTCAAATATCAGCTGAGTGGTGGGGACAGCCATCAGCAAGATCAGATGCCCTGGTTAACTAGCAGCCCTGCAGGTCCTGTTCACTTCCCTCTTCCCTTGCCCAGGAGAGCCAGTGAACCAGCATTTACAACCGGTACAGAAGCTAGGAAGAGTCACTTAAAGGTGGAGGTTGTGGAAGAAAGAGACAACACATGCAGAAGCTACTCTATGCCCTACAGACTCTCCTTCCTGGAAGCGATGCCCTGTTCAGACAACACAGTCCCAAAAAGAGATGATCTTATGGCTGACGTCATCAACACTGCTGCAGAGAACATTGCAGTCAACAGGAATTCTGTTGACTCCCTGCCTGGCAATCTCTCCTTCCCTGAATCAGTCTTGGATGCAACACCCATAGGATTTCTGAACCTGGGCTTCTCTGAAGAAGATTCATTCCAAGGGCCAGACATTCCCAGTGACCAGCCCCAGGTGGCAGCCACAACAGCTGGATCCAGGCCATTCAGGGTCTGGAAACTGTTGAGGAAGCAAATGTCCCATGCACTGAGAGCACTGTGCTGCTGCTGCTGCTGCCTGCCCACCCCAAGGTGAGCCCTGAACCCTTGCATAAGGGGCTTCAAGGAAAAGAGAGGACAGTGGAGACCCGTTGGTTGGGCCACACAGATGAATTCGTACATTGTCTTTTCAATATGCTATTTCAATATCATTTTTAAATGAAAAGTTGCACCCACTGAGGGGGCCCAGAACTGCAGATATGTGGTGCATTAGATGGCACGTTGCACAGCTTCCTGTTCATGTACAGTCCTGGAAGGTTGAGGCAAAAACAGATATTATAGCATGGGGAACACAGGGTGGGAAGGAAGGGAGGAGAGTTCGGCTAAAGGGGGCAGAGGGTCAGAATGGAGGAATCAGGAAGAGAAATATGGCATAGAACTTTTATCTGCCAAAGTCACTAATAGAGGTGCTTTCATGTTTCTTTCTGCTTTGAAGTGTGGAAATTGAAATGGCCCAAAAGAATTCCAGACCTGGTGAGGAGTGACTGCCACAGAAGTGAGCCAGAACTCATCTCCAGTGTGCCAGCTCCCTTCAACCCAGGACAACAGGCTCCTGCCTGTATTCATCCTCCAGCTATTGGGTCTGAGCTGCCACTTTGCATCTCTTTCAGCTCAATTCAGCTTCAGAACTGTTGTGGGACAATTGGGGGTCATAAGGCACTTGGACCCCAAGACCCTCTACCTTCCTAGTTTTGGTTGTGCTTGTAGGACCACGCACACTGCATGGAAAACAGCAGCCTCTACAACCAGGAAGGACTTCATACAATCACAGCTGCTCATCATCTTGGTCACTTTAACCCGCCAACTTACTCTGTGACTGCCTTTTGGACAAAATAGCAAGACCTGTGTAAATCCTCTGGAGAATGGAGGTGGGTGAAGGAGATAATGAGGACTAATTGGGAAACAATTTCGAGACAGGAATAGGGGACATGGGAGTTGGTGTAGAATAAGGAGTAGAGTCTGTCCTGAAGAACAAAGTAACATGAAGGAAATGTGTGTGCTGACCTGTGACAGGGGCTGTGCACAGTCTACAGCAGGAACAAACCTCCCCTGAAGTGCAGACTGGGAGGGATCTAGAAATAGCCAGCAATGAGGAGGAGAGGGCCTGCTCTGATGGTTCCTAGCATGTGTCAAGGCACACAAGTAGGATGTTGTCTTGGAAATAACATCCTGTTCTTTCCTACAGAGCTGGAGTGCAGCAGGAGAAAGATGAAGCACTATTGGTCAGTGGAGTCCCATCCTCCTCAGTGCTGAGTAAGTCCTGTCTGTTAAAGTCTCACTAAAAGAGGCATTTTCCTTATTCTTTTGGGTTTTATTTGGGGAAAGTGAAATGGTCTACTTGAACTACAGTCTTGGTGTGGTGTAGTGCAACAGGAAGGATCCAGGCTGGAAATCTGTGTCCTGTGTGATGATATGTTAGGGCTACAGGTTCCAGTATCCATCCTCCAGGTTAGGGTCTCAGCTGCCATCTTCCCCATCCTTCACCTCACTGCTGCCCCTGCACTGTGGCTGAACATCCCTGAGAGTTACATGTAGCATCAACACAATGAATGTCTACATCTGTCCTGGTTCCTGTGGGACCAGGGTTCCATGACATCAAAAAGGGCTGCCTCTATCAACAAGACAGACTTGCACATAGATCTCAGGCTTCCCTCTTCTTTGATTCATTCATCACCTCCAAACTGCTTTCTGACTGTCTTTCAGAAGAACTGCAGGAACTATAAATCCAGTGGGAGATGGGAGAATGGAGATAAGGGGGAGGAACAGGGGAAAGGAGGTGGAGAGGATCAAGAGGGAATGAGAGGACCTGTAGAGAGGGTAGAGTCTGTCCAGAGGAGCTTACCTGAAATGAGTGAGGAGAAACGGATGTTTTGCTGGGTCAGGGGTCTTGAAGAAGTGAGACCGGGAACAATGTCTCAAACAGAGTGGAGTGTGCCCTTGGGTTTATTGCCAGCCATGAGGAGAAAAGACCCTGCTCTGATGGTTCCTGGCATACGTCAAAGTAGAGAACTATGAGGCTGCTTTGGAAAGGAATTCCCATTCTGGGCTACTGAAGAAGGGTCTGGCAGAAGAGAAGTGTGGCTCCATCATGCAGTGGAGTCCTCTGCTGCTCCTGTCTGACATGTCCTTTGGCAGATCTGATGACGTCTATGTCTTTTTCTCTATGGCCTCCTTCATCCAGGATTCCCTTGCTCTCTCCCACCTCCTGATCCAAGAATCTTGCATCATTTTCCAATCTCTTGGAGGGATTTATAACTGACATTTGACCTTACATTAACATTGTTCTGCTCCAATGTGAGAAGGTAAGTAGGCCTTGCCAGGCCTGATACTGGGTATTGCCTTTACAAGACCAGAACATGGGACTTCTTTATGACCAATGCTCACCATTGGGGTCAGACTCAGAAGGAAACCTTGATCATCATGGAGTTCTTGATGACAGCCCCTGGTGCAGTGTGAAGCATTGGTTGAGTGTAGTGTCTGAACTGTTTTCCAGAACACCTTCCAGGCAGGGAGCAGTTCACTGAGTTGGCAAAGGGAAATGAACTCAACAGGGATTCCAGGGTGCTAATCTGTGTGAATCATGCACCTGAAGCTATGGTTGAGTACAGTAAGTATCTGTTTCTGGTAGAAGACAAGTGTCTGAAGCCTAGTCTTGAGGTGGTGAAAAGGATCCCATGAGGTGACATGTGCCAGCAGTCCTGACACAGAGGGAAAGTTATCATTGACTTGCTCAACTGAAGAGCAATGGGAGACTGAGAGACTGCAGAGGTATGACAAGGGAGGAACCAGCTTCTCTGCTGTAGTTGGCCTCCAGCTCCATTCTGACCATCTGATCCTGGGCTGTTAGCAAACACTGATGGATATTACAGTCTTTGGCCAGATCTTCCCAGTGGATGATAGCCAGCTTGTGCTGTCACTGACTTCTAAAACCCTGACCATCTGGTGAGTCCCAAGTGCAGAGAACAAGATCAGTCAGTTTGTTCAGAAAGAGAGAGAAATTTTCAGTTTGTGGGTATCACCTGGTGTCAGACTCTTTCTGCTGCATATCAATGAAGGCAGGGCTGAGAAATGGTTTAAGATTCTGTTGAATTATAGAAATGAGAGGAAAATTTCCTGAATCCTCATTTTATATTTTACTTTTTTGAGACTGGATCTCACTATATAGCCCTTACTATCCTGACACTCTTTGTGTAGAACAAGCAACTCTCAACCTCACAGAGATTGACCCCTTTGTCTGTCTCCTGAGTGCTGCGATTACAGATGTGGACTGCCATGCCTGGCTTCAAGTACTGTATGTATAGCATCAATGGTAAATTCCTCAAACATGTGAGGGAAAGGAGACATGTTCTGTGCTTCTTTCATCCTGACTGGGTCAGGGATTGAACTGAAGTTACTGTCATCCAGGATGGATTACAAACAGCATCAAAGTCCAAATCTACCCTTCAGAGTAGAAGTCTATGTCCACCAGTGAACAGATACCTGGAGGTGAGAACTGCTGTCATGAATTCTTCTGGGAACACTGGTCAGTGGGCTGGAGGAGGTATGCACTAGCTGATACACCCTTGGAAACAAGGCACAGAGCGTGCAAAGGCTACTCTCTAATCCTTTTTCACAGGATCCCCACCTGAAGTCCAGGCACAAATCCCATGACCTCAACCTGACCAATCAGGAGAGTCCAGATTGGCTACCTGGTCTGATGGATTGAGTTCTTTCCATTTGAGCCATGTGATCACAGCTGAGGACTCAAGGTGGGTCACTGAGACAGCTGGTGCTGGTGTCTTGGGATGTTGGAGGCAGGGCTTTCACTTTAAGGACACCAGTGGCAGAGACAGCACATGAAGCCACATATTCTAGATAGGAGCTTCCAGTTCTACTCATCTGACACCCAGATTCTGTCTGCTTGTCTGCTGACTTCCATGGCTACTCTTGCCCATGTGTCCCACAGTGCTTTTGTTACTTGTCAAAACCACTTTGGGTTGGTTTTAGGTCACTGAACCTTGTTCATACTCCCTGGTTAATGGAAATCCCAGGGCTGCAGGTTTCTGGATTCTGAACCAACTAGGACTCTGTACACCCCACTCTAGACAGTGTGTGATGGTAGAGGTGATCAGCCCCTCCCAAGAACATTGTGAACAATCCCAGGAAAATCATTGTCCTATTCCATATCCTGTGTGTTCTGTTGTTCATGTTCTGACACCTGTGACCTGGACTTAGTGAAATGTTTCCCCACATGAGGGAATGAGAGCTCCTTCCTCTCCTTCCTCTTCCTCCTTCCCTGCTGCTGTGTTTGCAGCCTTCATTTTTCCCTGTGTCCTGACCATCAGAAAAGACACAGTCCCACTGAATGCTGGTCTAGTTTATGTGTTTGTGAATGGGCATCACTGTAGGGATTTTTATCAGAACCATATTTGTCTTCTAACAGGAAAGTGACAGCAAGCTGGAGGAAAATGGGTACCACTTTGGATAGAATGCTGGGACATTGCTCCACTTTGGAAGTGAGTAGGCCTTACCTAGCCTAGGGCACAGTGGTCAGAGGTGGGGTCAGCATTTTTAAAACTTCTTTGTACCCAGGTCACACTGGGTACAGCGGTCAGGCTTAGACAGCCTTGTTGACCATAGAGCTATGGCTTTCAGCTAGGCTGACTGCTTGCTTGTCCTGCTGGGATAATTGTCCACAGTGTGATCAGGTGCACCTTACAGGCAGACAGGGTCTCCATGCAGTAAAGCATGGCCACTCTGATGGGGATGCATGTCAAGGCTCATCTCTGGGAAGCACATGGCTGAAAGCATCACTGAGACCACTATATAATAGCCTGTAGCAGAGGCTAAGTTTTTAGTTTCTTGTCTAAACTTGACTCTGGCTTAGAGGTTAGGAAGAATGAGGCTGACCAGGCAGGCCTCCCTCAATTCCAAGAGTAGGTGGTCACTTAGCTTGTATTACAGAGGACAAGAGACAGATAGATAGAGAGATAGAGAGATAGAAACAGTTGATGCATGGGTACAGAGGGATATTGAGATAACTTGGTGTAGGTGGCACATCTCTCCTTTCTGACATCCATTCTGTTACTGACCAGTGACTTAGTCTGTGTTGGGCTCCAGAGACTGGGGAATGGGGATTCTCACAACCTAAGCAAGGGAAACCAGCCAAGAGACAATGACCTGCTAGCTCCTCAAGACAACAGCTTGTCTGTATGTCAGTGAGTGAGCACAAAGGCAGGCTTCACCCTGATGCACTTAACTGAAATGAGGGCCTGTGGAAGGGACTCTTGGGTACTGAGGCCAGGCAGAGAATCTCTCAGGAGACAGCACATGGGAACAGGACTCCAAGCCCTGGTAATGATAGTCTCTAAGAATGTGACCCTTAAGAACCAGAGTTGATGACTAAGAAGCAAGGTGAGTTTAATGTTAACTTTTTATAACACTGGCCACTGAAGGGAGCATGTGGTGGCCTTTAGATAGTTACATGAGAGAAGTCAGCTTATGATCAGGCTCATACACTTAACACCCTCCTTCCCCCACTTCCTGCCTCCTGGAGGCAGCAGGAACATGTGTAGACAATACATGCTATTTTTACCAAGATCTTTTCACACACTACCCCAAAGTTGCTCAGTAATACGCACCTCCCTGTGGAATAAATGGAGTCCAATTGATGCTGGGTAGCTTGCTCTTTTGGACAGTGGCTGACTGGTTGGGACTGTTTAAATTCCTCCCAGGTCAATGACACAGATAGGATGACTAGTGTAGTAAGAGTTTGGGTCTCATGTATTCTCAGAGGCCAACTCCAGAACTCTCATTGACAATCCTTTCTTTCCTCAGATCTGCAGGTTCTGGTGGATATGTTCAGACAAACCTCATCTTTACCATATGTGCATCCCGTCTCATCTAGGCAAGTGTTCAGTGAGCTGGGTGCAGGAAGTATAGCATCTAGAAACAGACATATTAGTGGAAACTGCTTTTCCCTCTTGATCCTAGAGCCTGTTTATGGAACAGTAGCAGAGCAGCTAGGACAAACCAATCCCTGCAATCAGGGCTTCTCAAGGAGACCCCACTGAGTTCTTCCACAGGAAGTCACATGGGAAGAAAAGGGTCATTATTCCTGCCTCATTAGGTCCTGAATTCCACCAAAATAAACCAGTTATTATCTGAAAGGCCACAGGTCTAGGGTGTTGAATAAATCTTTCTGCCAGGCTCATCCATTTTCTAATATAAGCTGTTTCTTTTAGGTGCCTGGCCATATCCTGAATCCTGGACCCTGAGAACTCCTGACCTGAGTATGTGCACACTGAGCATTAGTGACATTGAGGAAAAAGAGCGCCTCTCTCCACTTCTTCCTAGCAGACTAGCATGCCATTGTCTGAGCTCCAGAGGAACTCAGAGGCTCCACACAGCAACAGGAGGACATGCTGTAGAGGACGATGACATGGTTTCTCTGCCACCATCCAACTACAGACAATGACCCCAAATTACCAACAAGATCTGGGGAATCTACAGGAATGTCTCCCTGTGAAAACCTCCCAGTGGGTACTTACTGTTGAATCCTGCCCAACATAGACCCTTTTATTTTGACAATTCAGAAAGTTACCTATGCCTCTCTGTCTTCACAGATAACAAAGAAAACCTGCCTGAGCAGGTAAAGAAATATCTCAGAAGAACCTTGGGAATTAAATATGCTTCTCTTTCTGAATTCAAGAGAGGATCTCCAGAGAAGGGTAGTACCCATGGACAACCTGTCCCAGGCCTCCACTAACATGAAGAGGCAGAACTTGAGGTCATATATTTGTCCCATTTCTCACTGGTTTAGGCAGAAACAATTTACAAAGAAATACTGAAGTATTTCATTAGAATTCCAACATAATTTCTATAAATTAACATTTAGAATGCATTGACACCTGGAGGAGAGAAATCCAAACAATATGAGTTCTCAGGTTCTACCAGTTGTTATTCTAAAGGTGACAGATGTTTGAACTTCATCTATATACTCAGCAAAATCCAGTCTGATGCTCAAACACAAGATGTAACAGTCAACAAGACCTAAACCTAAGAGACATGGCAGAGGACAGGAGAGATCCCTCCAGACCCCCATCTTCTTCTTCCAGGACTTCCCACAAAGCCTCAGAGATCCACAAAGACCTACACGGAAGTAATGGAGACTGGATACGTGGAACAGAGCAGAAAGCTCAGAAACAGACCCATCGAAATCCTGCCAGCTGATTTTTTTCATTGTCACCCATGGAAATCAAGACAGAGAGAATGGCTTGTCCACAAATGACTGCAGAAGAAGTTTTAAAAATAAGCAATAAGGAATCTATTGAAAAACTGAACACAGTCAGCATTTCAATTGACCTCAAATACAAACACTATAATGCTCACATAAAGTTATAGAAGAGGACTACTAAGTCCCTGCCTTATGGAACAGAAGATCAGAAATAAGCCGGAGAAGATGAACTGTGGACTTGGGAGCCCTAATTCCAACAGTCATGAAAATACAGAAGCTGGAGCATGGCAAGGGCAGGACACTCCCCCAGGACATCTAGAGAGAGCTTGGCCCATGACACACTCTGGCAGACAACAAATCCCTGACAGTGAACGTTGTGTGGCTATGAGGAGGTGGATGTGTCGTGTGTGCTGTGTGGTGTGAGGATGGCTGAAACCTATCACATCATGTGGGATGGAGATGAGCTGTCCAGATGATCTGATAACAGCACTGTATTGATGGTCCAGTCAGCTGGAGAAAGCAGCAGGGCTGACACCTAGATACTCACATGTGCTACCCATGCCCCTCCCCTTGTTAACAACATACATACAGTGTGAATGTAAGGACATGAATGACTCCCCTCACCCACATTCACCACATACTTCTCTAGGTATTAGGCCTAGATATTCAACTCCCTCTGCTGTCCCACACACAATGCTAGATTCTAGATCATGCTAGACATGCCTCTAACCACCGTGTACTAAGACATGGGGAAAGGTATCAGGCCCTGTTGGACACTTGACCTCCTGACAAGGACACACAGTTACTGCTTGGTTCAAACACTCCTGGAATCTTCCTGCACTGACATACAACACTTGGTATAATGCAGCGTGTGACACTACAGCCATGCCACCTCACTTGTACTACCAACTGTCAGACCATGACAATCTCTACATCACACACACACACACACACACACACACACACACACACACACACACACTCACACACCCTCTAATACACTTCTAAGTATTGGGCCATGCATGACTTCCTACCAAACCACACATTGACTGCTAGATATCAGGTTTTGCTAAACAAATACTCTCATATATCTATCATTTATTCCTAGGTCTGGATCCAGAATGTAACCCACACAATCCTTTATTAACAGCTACTTATCAGGTCATACAGGATACTATCTTGCCACTATACCAAAATACTCTGCTAGTATTGGTCCCCAGTTGACACCCTAATATCACTGAAATTCCACATACACTGCTAGGATTCACACCCTCTTGAATATCACACACAACCACTATAATCTACAATTATAGCATCAGTGCCCAAAGGATATCACATTTAATCAACTGATATATCCCTGATGGATATCAGACTGATGGGCATTCCAAACTCCATGGCAACTCCTACAAGGCTAGCTGAAGGCCCTGGAATGCACACATCACCCTGTAGCTGCCTCACATGTACTGCTAGCTGTCAGGTTCTGCTGGCTCCCTCAGTGCCTCACACACACTCTGAAGTGTCAAGCACACTCGGACATCACATTGCACACTGCCAATGTACTTCAAAATGTGATCAGACCTTGACGGACACCTGCTCAGCCATGAGCTGACACACACTCAGTAGGGATTGTGCAGAGCTCGACACCCCATCCTTCCTCTGCTCCCCTCTGACATACAGTTAGCATCAAACACACTGGACACACCATCACCCCTGTGACCACACATCTACTCTAGGTACCAGGTCCAGTTTGACCTCACACCCCACATTAATCAACAGCCATCAGACCATGTGGAGAACATTCCCCCTGTCAGGTCTTGCGCAATACCTAGCAATTAGCATTAATGGACACCCTGCTTCTGCCTAAGACACACCCACACTGCTAGGCATCAGCTTCTACTGGACTCCTTCCTATGCGATACCATGTGCTGGGTCTCAAGCTCTACTGCTAGTTACTGGGCCATGTTGGACATTAACGCCTGTCCAAACCACAGTGCATATAAAGTGCTGTGTGTTAGGTTCACTTGAACACAAGCTTCATCACACATGACTTGCTAGGTACCAGACAATGTTGACACACACCCTTACCCCCTATATACACCACTGGCCCAGTGAACACTGCAATTTTAAGGCTCTTCTAGACACCTCCATCACTGACATATCAAGTTTCTTGCTATCAGACACTACCACTCTGTGAAGATTTCAGTCATGTATATTGAAGTATATTGTATGCATATACAATAATTGGCTTCAAGTCTTACCCAAAATAGCACCATTCTGCTGACAACATACACTACCAGACAGGGTCATGGGTCTAAGCACAGCTGAAAATTAGCAGGGTTATTGTGGCAGCAGGATGGGTGAAGGAAGAGAAACTTATTAGATGAGGCCGTTATCATGCACAATATCCGGGTTAGGACTGGGGAGTCCTGAGGATGTGATACACAGTAGGGCATCCAGGCCTCAGGCAGGTGTGCAGCAAAGCCTGAAACCAAGCAGTGTGTTTCAGGCTATAGTGATAGGGGTAGGAGTGTCCAGCCACCTGATAACGAGTGGTACATGGGTGGGTTTGGCATTAGGACTGGGGGGCAGTAGCTATCAAGGCTTGTTGTGGGGGCAGCCCCTGATAGTTGGATGAGTCTGTGGGAGAAGCAAGGGGATTCTCTATAGTGTGTCTTATGAACACAAGGGTGTATGTTGGGTGGCAGCAGTTGGGAGCTGTCTGGATCCATTAGGACATCTAGCAGTCTATGTAGGAAACCAGGGGGGTTTGCAGCCATGCCTGTTCAATAGTAATATATGTGGAGCAGTGCTAAAGATGATGATGTTATAAGGAAAAGTGTGTGCGTGTGTGTGATTGAACTTGTTGTGAGTGGTCAGAGAGTGTGCTGCATTGTCATGGGGATAGCTGTCTTAGAGAAAATGAGTCAGTGACTAGGCAAATAGAAGCCCAGGGTCAGTATATTATTAATGAAGTTGATCAGAGAAAGTATCTTCAAGACATGGACTTGAGAGATTTGGAAGAGTAAGCATAGAAAACATGAAATGTGAGGCTTGATGAATACAGGCCTCGGGGAAGAATTTGACTTAATTTTTACTGTACCAAGAAGCCAAGTTTTCTCTTTGCCAACACCACTAGGTATCATCGTCTCTAAGGTGTCCCCACACTTAAAACCCACCTCCACATTGCTAGGTGTCAGCTTCTACACTGAAAAATGTCTTCTACAGCAGGTGCCAAACATACATGCCTAGGAGCGAGGTCCAGCAGGTCAACTGTCCATTAAAGAAAATGCTCCTCTCATACAGTTGGGTAGCTTGTCCTACACAAGATCAATGATGCAATGGCTAAAGCCCCATGCACAGGGCTGGGTATCTGGTGTTTCTAAGGATCCCCTTACCTACAGCAGCAGAAGCCATAAACAGACGCCCACATACTATGACACAAGTGTCAGGGGCCAGTATTTATCTCTTCCCATAGAACCACATATACATTCATGGTTAGGTCACATTCCTGATAGGAATCGCCTCAACTACATCAGTGCAACACACCCAGAACTAGGCATCAGATCCTACTGGGCACCTCTTACCCTACATCCAAAGGACCACACAGTTACACAGCTAGTTTTCTAGTACTGGTACCCTTCCCCCATAGTCAAATGCCTTGTACACAGCCACATATTCACAAACACACTCAGGCACACATGCTTGTATGATCCCATGCACGTGCTCATGCACTGTCATCTAGCTGTCATGTCAACAAGGTCTCCCCCATTCAGCCAAAGCCCTGTTTACACACAGTTGTCAAAGTGCTGCCCTTCTGGGTGTCCATCCCCTGCAGCCAAATACATACACAGAGACAGACAGAGAGACAGAGACAAAGAGACAGAGAGACACAGAGTCTGAGGTCAGGTACTGCTGTTCCTACTCCATAACAAACAAAGCTGTCTACTCAGGGCTAGGTGTCGGGTCCTGATACCTACCTCTTTTTCTATATTCATAGTGCAATATTCTTACACAGCTAATTTACCAATATTCCTCGTCCCCTATAATCAAATGCTAGGTACACACTCACACACTCAGAAACACACTCAGGCATGCATGCTCCTATAAATGCCTTCACAAACTCAATACACTCTCAGCTAGCTATCAGGTCCTAGAAGATAGACACCACACACCACATATACTTCTAGGTGTTAAGTCCTGTGAGGTAGAGGTATCAGCCATAAAAAAAGCAACCCCAAATACAACTCTAGGTGTTAGGTATGGTGAGGTGTCCCACATAGAGCCAAAGTCCTATTTACACACAGCCAACAAGGTGCTTCTGCTGCTAGGTGTCCATTACTAAAACCAATCTCTCTGTCTCTTTCTCTCCCCTCTCCCCCTGCATCCCCTCCCTCTGTCACATACACATACATGTATATGTGTACATCTAAGGCCCTGTACTGTTAGGTATACATTTGCCTAGAGCCAAAGACTCCCAATACATGCAATTTGACTGAACTTTCAGGGTTATTGTCTCCATAATAGGCAAATCCACCCCCTCATCAACACACAATACACACACACACACACACACACACACACACACACACACACACAAGTGCAGTTACATGGCAGGATCTGTTGGATTTACAGCTTCCGTAGAGCCAAAGCATCTAAACAGGGCCAGGTGTCAGCTTCTGTTAGGTCCACTCTACCCTACAGCCAATATTCCTCTAGGTATCATGAACTCCTAGAGATCCACTGTGATATAGTAAAGTCCCATGCACAGGGCTAGGCGTATCATCCTGCTAGGAACCCCGGACACGGGCAAACACTCAGGCACAGCTCTCATATTCATATAGGCAAGTGTCAGGCTCAGGTATTTGTCTCTAGCATTACAACCAAAGTTCCACACACACAAACATGGCTAGCTTTTAGGATCTGCTAGGTACCTTCTTCCCCACAGCAAAACACCAGGTTAACAAACATACAAATGCAAGCATGCACACATGCACATATCATGCATGCAGGCCTGTGGGAACCTTCCCCTGAGTGTGAGTCCCAGGAGTTTTTCCCCTAGCCCCATGAATGGAGCTATGGATTTAGGGGAAGGCTAGGACTTGGCACCTACCTCTGAGTGTGTGGTATTATTGTAGAACTCTGGTCTTCCTCACAGGAATACAAGTAGTCATGTATATGTTTGTGGCTTTGGCTGTAAGATTGGGACTACAATGCTACCCTTGACACCTAGCCCTGTGTGGAGAGCTAGGGCTTAAAATAGAAAGAAGTCCATCAGGACTTGATTGTGTGTGTGTGTGTGTGTGTGTGTGTGTGTGTGTGTGTGTGTGTGTGTGTGTGTGTGTGTAGGGTTGTTCATTGGCTTGGTGAAGTAATGCCTAGTGGATATTTACACATCTACCCTACAGCCAAAGACCTTTATTCACATATATGGCTCACTATCAGTTCCTGCTGGATAAACACGTCCTTACAGTCTAGCCAAACTGACACAAATCTCAGAACCTGCTAGGAATATCACCCTATATTGAAAAGACCCACCTATGACTAGAGCATCATGTCCTCCTCAGTATCACCTCCCCAAAAGCAAAGCTTCAAATATACTGGCTAGGTGTCACATCATTCCAAGTACCTTAATCTCTACAGCCAATGTTACAGGTACACAAAGAGATGGAGTTAGGTCATTCTGAATGCCCCCAGACTTCTAATCAAAGACTCTATCTCTGTCTCTGTCTCTCTGTCTCTCTGTGTGTCTGTGTGTCTGTCTGTCTGTCTCTCTCTCTCTCTCTCTCTCTCTCTCTCTCTCTCTCTCTCTCTCTCATACACACAACTATGTATCTGTTACTTCTAGACATTTCCTCCCTGCAGGAAAGTCCCACATATACACACAGGGTTAGATTTCTTACTCCTGCTAGGTACAATCTCCCTAGGATGATCTCAGAAGATCCTCTAAGAGGACATGGTATCTAGCTGAGTAAGAGGAATATACATACAGCCAAAGCTAGACACAAAAAGCCAGGTGTCAGTTCTTTTGGTATCCATTCCCCTCTGTGTATCTCTATGTTTTATACTCACTTCAGAAGTTTGGGAGCCAGAAACAGCTGACAGAAATGACCTCTGGCATTGTCTTTCTGGATCTGGGCTCTCTCAATATCTTTTCCACATTAATCCATTTACACAGAAGGATGGCTTAAACAAAGAGGATTATTTGCTGAGTGTCTGAAACTAATCCTGTGATTAGTTTGCAGTTGCGTGCAGTTTACAGAACTCATTCCTTATTAATGTCTAATGTGGGAGATCAGGCCAAATGTGGGTGTCTCCACCCCTGTACATTGGTCAGGAATTGTATAAGAAAGGAAACTGAATTAGCCATGAAGAGCAAGTCAGGAAAGAGCTGTCCTCTGAATCTGCTAGAGTTTCTCAAAAACTTCACTAATGATGGATATTGAACAAGAGATGGGGGCCAAATAAACTCTTTCTACCACATTGGGTTATGTCAGGACCTGTCTATCAACAATACAAAGTATACTAAGACAGTATCCCAGGACTGTCCTCAACTTGTAATCCTCCAAACTTCACCTACTCACCGCTGGCTTTAAGAATGTAATATAAACCTATATGAACAAATAGAAGCTTTAAGGTTGACTAGATCTCAGGGAGAAAACAAATCAAGGACCAGTACAACACAATTCCATGAGGTCAGGTTATTTTAATGAAGTTAATCATCGAACACATCTCAAGCAAACAGATTGGAGAAATACTGCTGAATGAGGATAGACACACAAATAGTGCCTGATGGTATATACAGAGACAGGGAGGAATCTTAGTTTATTTTTTAATATGCTAAGTACCAAACAGAGTATAAATAGAAGAGTGAAATCCTATGACTTGAGATAGTTAATCATGGGTCATGTAATTAATAACAGTGATTGCTCAAACCTCAGTTTAGGAGGCTGGCACAACTGTGAAAACTTTGTGGCTTGAAGTTCATGCTCTGGATCCAATGTTGGTGAATATACCCACTGCACTCTGTGGAACATGGCTCATGAGGTCAGAATATATGTTAGCACATCATGTCCAGCACACACAACCATTGTAATACACATAACCTGGCTCATAATATCAGAGCATGTGAGATATTCTGAATCCTACCCCAGTAGACATCTCATCTCAATTCCTGTATTCTGGTTGATGAGGTCAGAAGGGATACTACTCCTAGATCATCCAGCATCAGGAAGTTATCCCACCTACGAACCGGCACCATGTGTCTCCACACCTGAGCTCAAGGAGAATACAGATGAGTCTAGCACAGCCACACTTGGAACACCAAGGATCAATCCAAATACTCCCCAACAGAAAACAAACAGAAACATTCAAGTAACTAAATCTAGGTAACAAGGCCTATGACAAAACCAAAAGTAACATGAAAATCCAGGACAACATAACTCCTCCCAAAATGACCAGTTCCTAAGTAGTGGACAACAATAAAAGACACTTAACCAAATTCAAGGCTGGGTTACATGGAAAGCCTGATGGCAGATGCATGGATCTCCCTGGGAAGGGGAAATAAAGGAATATCTCCTGGGGGCAGGTTAGGATGGGAGCATGAGGGTTTGGGTTGGGAGGTGCATAAAGGGGTACTCCACTGAAAGAGATGATTGGAAGCAGTGAGCATTTTAGGGTCAGGTAGAACATGATGCAAGGGACACTCCCCAAAATCTACAAGGATGATGCCAACTAAGACTTCTAGTAATAGTGGATACACAGCTTGAACCAGCCATCTCTAGTGGTTAGTTTGATGGCTACCTCAATAGTCATCAGAGAGCCTTCATTCAGTAACTGGTGGAAATACATGCAGAAATTCACAGCAAAACATTAGATCTCTTTGGGGTTCAGGGAATCCTGCTGAAGAGAGGAAGCAAGGATTATGGGAGTCAGAAGGGTCGGAACTCACAGAGTCTGATCCAACAACCAGGGAGCCTGCATAGGAATGACCTATGCCCTGTACATATGTGTGACAGATGTGTAGCTTGGTCTACTTGTGTGACTCCTAACAATGGTAATGGGGCTGTCCCTTGGGCTTTGGCTGGCTCTTAGGAACCTCTTTGTGAGTCCCTGCGGTGCACCACTCTGCTTCCCAACACATACTGCTCAGTATAATCCCAATTGGGCAAGTCCTGACTCACAGAAGGATAGAGTACACTGAGATAAATGAGGTCTGTACATCCAATAAAATATGGCTGTTACTTTGGGAATATATTGGTGTCATTGGGCAAGCATTGCTGTGGGGTGTGGGATGTGAGCACTTTTGAAGATCTGGCAGATCCAATGCTGGGTGTTGATTAGGATAACCCACATGTCAGGGACCATGTCAAGGAAGGACTGATGCTCCATTAGTGGAAGCAAACTGCCTATGAGTAATGTCCCCGATGGGTAAGGCTTGTTTTTATGCATCTCTTTCCTGATCTCACACAGCTGCTTACTCCCCCGCCTAGCCATTGCTGGGACCCCAGGAAAGTTAAACCACTCTGAGAGTAGTGGGCTATAGAAAACACCTGGTGAGACTTAAGGAGGACAACTCCACATTGATGCAAACCCCAGTAAAGCAAAGTGAAATGCGATGACCATTGACCTTCAGCTGTGTCTTGGCCAAAGCATACCTCTCTTCCCACCTTGGTTTCAAATCATATTGTGTAGTCATTCAGTGTCATACCTTAATGACAAAGATCTCAAATGGAAAACAACACCCAATGACGTTGATCCTTCATGGATTGTAAGAATGAAGTTAAAGACCAAGGCCAAAGGGCAAGTGGCTTGGCACTAATGACTATGGGGTCTGCTCATTGCTGGTTCATTGCCCATCAGAAAGAACCAGATGGAATCCATACCAAGAGAACTCTTTGGGAATGAAAGCTCAGCAGAGTGTGGAGACTGGACGAAGGTAAAATGTTCCATAGCAGCCCATGCCAGGAGCAGCTGAGTGGGTAAGCAGCCTTGGGACTTCATTTCCTACAGTAACACACCTTATACCAAGCAAGTGTTCCCCAATCACTAAGGAGTGACAGGGGATCTGTCTTTTCTGCAGCCATCACTGAGCCAGTCCTGCACACCTCTCTGGTACCCTGACTCACATGTAGACACAATTGAAGATTCTGACTCCACCTTGTATTGATGACTTCTCAGGGGTCACATGGTTCTGTGGGGAAGACAAAGGGAGAACACTACCCATTTTCAGTTCTTGTGAGACTGTTGGCCCCTCCTTTCATCTAACCACTCCCCTTCAAATCAAGATTGGGACTGAATTTCAGAATCTCAGAGCTCAATGAACACCGGCTTGAAAATCATCTGCAGCCCTGGTTTTCCCTGGTTCACACCTATCCAGTTCTTAAATTCTCAGAAGACTTTAGGTGATGGGGTGAACATTACCTTTGCATTTAGATTTTACAGAAGTGGCAGGTAAACCAAGGGGCTATTGTTACATATTCTCACTGCCCTGGTTGTCATCCCTTATGCCAAGATCTGAAAACAAGTAACGCTGACTTGGGCCTGACTTGGGCCTGACTTGCCTGATACAAACCCTCCATTTGCTAGGAAAGTCATTGACCTTTTTGATAATTTTTTGCACCTTGAAGGCAATCCAAATTAA